CCCCAAAACCCCAAAACCCCAAAACCCCAAAACCCCAAAACCCCAAAACCCCAAAACCCCAAAACCCCGTAAGTAGTTCACCCAGTTGACACTAAAAGTTGAGAAGTAGTTTGGTTTAACTTATTTTAGAGAAATTTTAGCTTAGAATCCACCTCTCAATCTGAGGACCAAGTGGAGGGTTGATTCCTTTTGGATGTTGTAGTCAGAGAGAGTTCTTCCGTCTTCCAATTGCTTTCCAGCGAAGATCAATCTTTGCTGATCTGGAGGAATACCTTCCTTATCTTGGATCTTGGTCTTTACGTTGTCAATAGTATCGGATTGTTCAACATCAAGAGTGATGGTCTTTCCGGTCAAAGTCTTGACGAAGATCTGCATTCCTCCTCTGAGTCTGAGGACCAAATGGAGAGTGGATTCCTTCTGAATGTTGTAGTCAGAGAGGGTTCTTCCATCTTCGAGTTGCTTTCCAGCGAAAATGAGTCTCTGCTGGTCTGGAGGAATTCCTTCCTTGTCCTGGATCTTAGTCTTAACGTTGTCAATGGTGTCTGATTGTTCAACGTCGAGGGTGATGGTCTTTCCAGTCAAGGTCTTAACGAAGATCTGCATTCCTCCTCTGAGTCTGAGGACCAAGTGAAGGGTAGATTCCTTCTGGATGTTATAATCTGAGAGAGTTCTTCCGTCCTCAAGTTGCTTTCCAGCGAAGATGAGTCTTTGCTGGTCTGGTGGGATACCTTCCTTATCCTGAATCTTAGTCTTGACATTGTCAATAGTGTCGCTTTGCTCGACATCGAGGGTAATGGTCTTACCAGTAAGGGTCTTTACGAAGATTTGCATATTTCTTAAAAAATATTTTATTAATTTATTCATAAATTTTTTCCTTATATACCTAAATTTCGGTCTAAACGAACATTCCTGACATAATCCCGAGATGAATTCTGAGGTTTTTCTCAATGCAATTACATAATCCGGGGTTTTGGGGTTTTGGGGTTTTGGGGTTTTGGGGTTTTGGGGTTTTGGGG